ACTAGTAAATATTAAACTCTCAAAAATGGTAGCTTCTTCTCTTCTGTCCTGCCATGTAGAAATTCCTGGTATCCAAGAAGACCCTTCAGAGGAGGAGCACTGAATTCCATGCAGTGCGATGGAGACCTACATCCTCGCCCCAGCAGAGCTATTTAGTAGGTTGTGCCCCTGGGCTAGCTTCTCAACTAGGGCCCTCATTAACATGACACTTGGCAGAGAGCACTGTTTGCTAATTTCTACTAACAAGGATTTTGTCCTCTTTTCATGTCCTCCATTTTTTGAAATATTTTTCTAAGGATCTGCAGTTTGTTAAATCGCTACTTCATTTCTTATGTGATCACCAGAGTTACTAAACTGGATTGATAGAGCTATTGCCCAAAGCAGCCTGGAGAGACCTGATGTAAGAAATTATACAATACCTATTATGGTCTTTAAAAAAAAAAAAAAGGCATATGGACACTGATGACAATGTCTTGGAATGTTAGATTCTAGGTGGACACCACTAGACAAGGTGATCTCATTTTTCCTCAAACACTCTCTGAATCCATAAAGTAGTTCAGGTTTCTTACTATGTGCCTTTTGAAACTCAATCATTTGTTTTGCGCTTAGGGCAGTAATTTATTTTAGTAAAGAAGCTATAAATAAGAGAACTTTTAATCACTAGACCAAACATTCAAACATTCAGTATGATGGGTAATCCACAGATATTAATGTGGGCTAGAGTAGTCACATACAATAGATGTTTAGAAGAGGTAGAGTTTTCTCTGGTCCTTTAATGATGACTGGATTTTAAGTAGCCTGAAAAGGAAAGGGGAGAATTCAAAAACTGGGGAAGAGAAGAATATCATCATAGGATGCCCAGGAAAGAGAGGCCAATGGGAAAGAAGGATTGTTCTCATTCTCCCAAGAAAAAAAGCACCTACCTCTGTACCCTTAGTTCTGGACTCAGAGGAAAAGACCAAAATGTTTTGTAATTGGAGTCATTCTTTCCTCTCCAGCTTCATTTCTAGCCCCCTTATTCCCATACTCCATGCTCTAGCCATGTCAAAAGATGGTACCCCCATCCACCAAGTGTCTCTAGCCAAAAGCCTCAAAGATCATCTTGATTCCTCCTTTGCCCTCTCCTCTCCTCCCCGATCAATCTTCCAGAAAGACTTAAGATTCCATTTCTAGAATTTCCACCTCATCTTTATAAAATGCAAACCTGGTTAAGCCATTTCTCTGCTTAAAATTCTAAATGGCTCTCCATCAGCTACAGAATGAAGTTAAATCCACTTATCACACATATAAACTATTCATACTCTAGCCCCTGATTACCTTTCTAACCTCATCTCCATTGATTTCTTTGCTCCATGAAAAAGTCCAGGGGAGGGGCGCCTGGGTGGCTCAGTGGGTTAAAGCCTCTGCTTTCGTTCAGGTCAAGGTCCCGGGGTCCTGGGATCGAGACCCACATCGGGATCTCTGCTCAGCAGGGAGCCTGCTTCCCTCTCTCTCTGCCTGCCTCTCTGCCTACTTGTGATCTCTGTCAAATAAATAAAATCTTAAAAAAAAAAAAAAAAAAGTCCAGGGATAGAAAGCTTGGAAGATGTTGGGAAAGACACAATGGCTGAGGGCTAAACCTTTGCAAGTAGCACACTTTCCAGGTATTAGAAGAGACTATGAGAACTTAAAGTCACACAAAAGTAACAGAGAGAGTCATGAGAATATGGATTTGAAAAATATTTAGAACGTAGGATAGAACAGAGACATAGAACTAGTTAGATTCAATGATAAAAAGAAAAAGCAGGGGCGCCTGGGTGGCTCAGCGGGTTAAGCCTCTGTCTTCGGCTCAGGTCATGATCCCAGAGTCCTGGGATAGAGCCCCACGTTGGGCTTCTCTGCTCAGCAGGAAACCTGCTTCCCCTCCTCTCTCTCTCTGCCTGCCTCTCTGCCTACTTGTGATCTCTCTGTTGAATAAAAAAAAAAAAAATCTTTAAAAAGAAAAAGCAAAGCTAGGTTGATGATGATGGTGACGACGACGACAATAACAATAGCCAGTAATGTCAGCAATAATAACCAATATTTTCTGTGCACTTACTATACATGAAGCATTGTTCTAAAGGTGACATGTGTTAACTCACTAAATCTCCAAATCAAATCTACGAGATAGAAGCTGTTTTAATCCACATTTTCCCACATAGTTTGGCTTTGGAATCTGCACAATTTAGCACAGTGTAAAACTGCCTCAGACCAATTGTCCTCTCCAAAACATGTCATACCCCTTTGAGCCTTCAAGTCTTCCCCATTCCTTCTGTATGAAATGCCCTTATCGGGGCGCCTGGGTGGCTCAGTGAGTTGAGCCGCTGCCTTCGGCTCAGGTCATGATCTCGGAGTCCTGGGATCGAGCCCCGCGTCGGGCTCTCTGCTCAGCAGGGAGCCTGCTTCCTCCTCTCTCTCTGCCTGCCTCTCTGCCTGCTTGTGATCTCTCTGTCAAATAAATAAATAAAATCTTTAAAAAAAAAAAAAAAAAAAAGAAATGCCCTTATCTTTTCCTTGGAGTGGAAACTTTCTTTAGGACACAGATTGAGTATGACCTCCTTGGGATGTCTTCTCTGTGTTCTTCCCCAAGCACAACTATTTACTCTTTATTCTGTTTTACCATGATACAGTATGTGTAATTCCACTGGTGAGCACAGTACACTACACAGCAATTACTTGTTAACATGTCTATCTCCTCTACTAGAGTGTGAGCTCCTTAACAACAGAATCTGTGTCACATTCATCTCTCAATCCCCAGGCTCTAACATCCTCCTCTGGCACCTAGTTCTTGATCCATAGTAGGCATTCAATAAATGTTTCTTAAATGAATGGACAAATGAGTGAATAAGCAAATAAGAAATATGGAGGTGAGAATTTTCCACCCTGCCATGTTACGGACTGGTGCTGGTGTGTGCTCTTAATGCAGAACTGGGCCAGAAATGAATGGTAGTGGGATGATTAGACAGAGTGGAGACGACAGAGATGAACTTGAGACTGGGTATGCCTGAAAAGATTAGCAACATGACTTCCAGAATAGCCAAGTGATGGATGCCAAAGTCTGAGAAGGCAACTTAAGGAAATGGATGTAATGAGAGCATCGAAAGATCAAATATGAAAGGAGGAACAAACAGATATTACTCTGGTTTCTGGGCACAGGTTTCACCAATTCCCCTGCCATTTATTAGTTGGAATACAACTGTTGTTCACCTATTTCCCTTTTTCCAGAGCTTCTGAAAATATTCGAACTGTGGAACACATACCATTACCAAAGTTATCTGAAGAAGAAATCAGCCAAACTTTGGAATTAGCATGTCACAACCATCAAGTCAACATTTCCAGATGGAAGCCAAAATTGCTTGAATTTCAAAATGTAGTATTTACCTGAATTCTAAAATGTGATCATTCATTTCACTCACATGGCTGACTGGGCAGGATGGTCCCTTGGGCCATCTTTTTTTTTTCCTTTTTAAGATTATTTATTTATTTATTTGACAGACAGAGATCACAAGTAGGCAGAGAGGCAGAGGAGGAAGCAGGCTCCCTACTGAGCAGAGTCCGATGGGGGGCTCGATCCCAGGACCCTGGGATCACGACCTGAGTCAAAGGCAGACGTTTTAACCCACTGAGCCACCCAGGTGCCCCTCTTGGGCCATCTTTATCTTCCATATCTCTCCACAAACTATTGTGGACACCATCTTATAGCCCCTTCATCTTAAATGGCCATCGTTTATGGAAGGGCTTTCCCTGTGTGCTTGGCTGCTGGAGTCATTTTGTAATCTGCTTCTCAAACTTTTCAGACTTCTAAGTAATGGCAAGAAGTAGGTTAGCCCCCTTTCTCTGTGTGTGTTAATATCATCCTCTTTTCTCTCTATAGTTGTAGACAGCAAAACGGAGTCTCTCCTGTCAAGCAAGAGTCTGTATCGCAATGACACAAGCAATTAAGGTACTGCAGCTAGGAGATACTGCCGGGAGCAATGTCAGCTGATAACCCAGAACCGGTAAGGAGCAGAACCAGAGGAGGGCTGCAGAGACCCAAAACTGATGAAATCCCCTTAAAAGGAGAAGGATTTTGGCAGCAAACTGGCAGACCCTTCAGACCTGACCCCTCCATATATGACCACTTAAAAAAGGCAACTACCACCTAAAGCTCTGACAGATTGATCTTTGAATGGAACTTGGAGCCTTCCCTGCTTGAACATCAGAAGCAGTAAGTGCCAAGAGCTGACCCAGGCCAGAGGGAGGCCTCATCTCAACTGCCCGCCCACAGACTGACTTGGCCTTTCCTTCCTTAGCTTCCTGCACCCTTCTGCCATCTTGTTTGTTGTGTGGCTTGTCTTCTGTGCTGCTTTGGGTGCTGTGTAAGAAGCCAAGTTTAAACACATGATGAATCGTTATTGAGTCTAGAATCCTGAACCTGCTTTATAATTGTGATTTCACTTTGCTTTCTAGCTGAATAAAGCTGACCTCGTGAAAAGACACACCTCATGTGTGCACCTTCATAGATCGCGTCCTAGTTCTCATAGCTCTTATCTGTGCTGGCAAGAGAGTCCCTTTGGATCCCCATTTGGAAACTGTCTTCTGTTGTCAGAATTCCAATAACTTTTCTGCACAGCCCCCTACCCAAATGCCCCTGTGCAGCATACATCTCCGTGTTACAGTCTTTCGTCGACAAAGTGCAAAACTAGGGCTTAGTCCTGTCCAGCGGTTCTCCCCGGGGAGATCCCTGGGCCAGCCGCATCAGGATCAACTTGTGAGAAATGCAAATTCTCGGGCCCTATCCCAGAGGGACTGAGCGAGAAACACCACGCAAGACAGGTGAATCTGATGTGCCCTAAAATCGGAGAGCCGCTTCCAGCCCACTTTCCAGCCCACTTTCTGAGAGGATTTTACACTTTCTCCTTCAGCTTCAGTGGTCCCTCCCCCCAAAACACTCACAACCTCTTAGATTCTCAGTTCCCTGAGAAAATCTGACGAGAACTTGCCTGTGCTCCCACGCCCAGGTCCCTGAGAAACCTGGCTCCCTCTCTGCCGCAGTGTCCCCACGTCCCGCCCGGACGCTCGGACACTCACCGGTCCTGCCCCGCTTTGCGCAGCGACCGCGCGCGCCGCGCCTGCTCGGGCGCCTGAGCGCCTGCGCGCGTCTCGGTCTCCCTTCCTGTTGGGTCGTTCCCGGCAGTACCTCGTGTCTCCTTTCTTGCTTTGGAAAAAGAGAACTAAAGAAAGAAAAAAAGAACCTCTCCCTTTCCTCCACATCCGCCTTCAGCTACTGTTCATTTCTGTGATCCCCGTGAAGCAGAACTTCACAGGCTTGTTTCGGACCCAGCGACTTGCACGCGGGAGGCTGTGCGTGACCCGCGGTGCCGGGAACCGGAAAGCATGCGCGTGAACTTAGTGGGGGGTGGGGCGGGGAGACCGCCACGTTCGAAGCAAACAAGAGAAACTGGCGGGAGATGCCGCCGGCTTCTTAAGAGGGGCATATTCTTTATTAAGGAAGAACAGACTTTTATACTGCTCCCTAGGGACTGATGTGCCAAACAGTTTGATCTTCCTGGAAGAAAGACTAATTTCTCAGCTTCCGTGGGGGCTCTGCGCTACTCAAGGGCAGATACCCTGAGAGAATGGTCCTTTGTGTAGAAAGGAGGCTTAATGAGGTTAAGGATTTACCAAAGGAGGCTTTCAGGAGTTCAGAGTAGTGAAGAGTGGAAGAAAACTGTTCTACATAAGAATGAGCAGTGTATTACTTTGCCAGGGCTGCCCTAACAAAGTAAAACAGATCCGGGGGGGATTCAATAACAGGAATTTCTTTTCTCACGGTTCTGGAGATAAGAAGTCCCAGATCAGTGTATCGACAGGGTTGGCTTCTTCTGAGGCCTCTCACTGGCTTGTAGATGGCCATTTTCTCCCTCTGTCTTCACATGGTCTTTATTTTGTGTGTGCTCGTGTCCTAACTTCCTCTTCTTATAAGGACACCAGTCATTCTGAATTAGGACCCAATTTCCTGACCTCATTTTAACTGCCTCGTTTAAGACCCTGTCTCCTTCTGTCACCGGCTTATTTCACTTAGCAGGACATCCTCCAGGTTCATCCACACAAACCTGGATTTGGTTGTTGTGTATGGTAGGACATCCTTTTTTCAAAGGCTGAGTCATATTCCATTGCATGCTTATGCTGGAGGTCATCAAGAGGATGTGACTGCCAGTTAACCCATGAGCTGGGCCTGAGCATCTCACAGCCCTCCCCTGTCCTTGGAATGTGGGTTCTGCTTGCCTTCCCTGTTCTCAGAGGCTTCCCCAGGGACATGAACTGGTGACAATGACGTGGTATTGAGACCATCTGGATGGTAGATATGACTGAACCTAATTAAGCTTCTATATAAACTTGACTGATTTCGCAGGCAGGTGTGGAAATCTGCTCATCTTGCAGCCGTCCAAGACAAGCCTTGCGTGTTAGTTCTGTGCTTGTTAAACTCTGCCACCTACCAGCACGAAGTGGCCTGCCTCTTCCTTCCCTCTCTCCCTGCCTTTCCCCTTTACAGGGGGCCAGTTTCACATTTCACCAGGGAAGTTCCCAAGGAGCTTGAAAATCACCAGTATATACCACATTTTCTTTACCCATTCATCCACCAATGGGCACTTCAGTTGTTTCTGTATTTTGGCTATTGTAAATAATGCTGCAATGAACATGAAAGCAAAGATATCTCTTTGAGATCCTGATGTGAATTCATTTGAGTGAATACCCAAAAGTGGAATTGCTGAATTATATTGTAGTTCTATTTTTAATTTTGTTGAGGTACTCCCCTCCCATACTGCTTTTCATAACAGCTGTATCAGTTTTACATTCCAACCAACATCATATGAGGGTTCTAGTTTCTCCACATCCTCACCAACACTTGTCTTTTCTTTTCCTTCCTTCCTCTCTCTCTTTCTCTCTCTCTCTCTTTTTTTTTTTTTTTTTTTGGTAATAGCCAACCTAACAGGTGGGAGGTGATATCTCATTATGATGCCATTTTATCAAGTGTCCAAGAGTCAAATTCACAGAAGCAGAGTAGAATGGTGGCTACTAGGGGTTGGAGGGAAGAGGAAATGGGGAGTTGTTGCTCAATGAGTATCAACTTCCAGTCATGCAAGATGAATACATTCTAGTGATCTGTTGTACAACATAGTGTCTGTAGTTAACAATATTGTAATACACACTGAAAAATGTGTTAAGAGGGTAAACCTCAAGACTGTTTTGTGACAGTGTAATAAGCATATACATTATCAGTCTCTGTGTTTTGGAGACTCTGTTATTATTGGCAGTCTTGCTGTCACCCTAATTAACAAAGACAGTGAAATATCTTCATGATCTCAGGATGAGTGTATTTTTGAAACTCTGGTGAAAACTATATAACTTAAAAGTCAGAAAATTGGTATAATTAACCTTTGTAGTCATCTGGTTTTAGACTTTACCAACTTTTCACCACATTTACTCCATCTATTTTTTTTCCCAAGGATATATTTTTTTTAAGATTTATTTATTTATTTATTTATTTATTTGACAGAGATCACAACTACACAGAGAGGCAGACAGAGAGAGAGGAAGGGAAGCAGGCTCCCCACTGAGCAGAGAGCCCGATGCAGGGCTCGATCCCAGGACCCTGGGATCATGACCCAAGCTGAAGGCAGAGGCTTTAACCCACTGAGCCACCCAGGCACCCCTTCCAAGGATTTTTTTTTTTTTAAAGATTTTATTGATTTATTTATTTGAGGGAGAGAAAGAGCAGGAGCATCAGTGGAGGGAGAGGCAGAGAGGATGGGAGAGAGAGAATCTCAAGCAGATGCTGTGCTGAGAGCAGAGCCAGACTTGGGGCTCCATCTCAGGAAACTGAGATTATGACTTGAGCCAAAATCAAGAGTCAGATGCTCAACCAACTGAGCCACTCAGGCACCCCTCCAAGGATCTTTAAGAAGAGGCATGTTATTGTTTTTTTTTTTTTTTTTTAAGATATTTATTTATTTATTTATTTGACAGAGAGATCACAAATAGGCAGAGGCAGGCAGAGAGAGAGGGAGAAGCAGGCTCCCCTCTGAGCAGAGAGCCCGATATGGGGCTCTATCCCAGGACCCTGGGACCATGACCTGAGCTGAAGGCAGAGGCTTAACCCACTGAGCCACCCGGGTGCCCCAAGAAGAGGCATGTTTTATGTTAAATCATCTGCTGTGCTCTTTGGCACTGTACAACTGTTAGTTATCTTAAATTTTGACAAATGTGTGCTACATGTGAACTTATTTCATTGGTGACAAAATCAAGGAAGTGTGTGCTGTTTTTCCCTTATGAGTCACCAAAGGATAGAAAGAAAAGAACCATAGAAGAGGAATGGGAGGTTGCCTGAGAGTTTAGCAGGACCAGGAAGTCTGAGCAAGGAGCAAACACAGCAATGGATGCAACTTGAGGTTTGCAGAAATCTTGAGAAAGGCACAGGACTTTCCACAGTGTAGGATAGAGACTCAAGCCACCTCTGTTTAAACATTAAATATATAAGCAACTACACAGCTAGAGGACTTAGGGACACCAAGATGATAGCCAGCATGAGTTTAGCATACATACTGATGACAGAGTGGATCTAGTACTGTATGTCTGAGCACCATACCAACTTTGGTATTTAAGCCCAGAATATCATCCCAGAACAAGAGAAAAGCAAAATAAATGGGGCACACGTATGCAACTCCTTTTAGTCCATAAACCTGTAATCTAGAATTGTATCTGGTGCTCCTCACCTGGGTCTGCACTGAACCCTCCTCTGCCTTTGCAATTACTGACCCTCAGCTTCTGCCTCTACCTCTGCCACAGCCAGGAGGTAGGCAGCTGTTTAAGAGGCTGATCTTCCACCTGCTTGTGAAATGTTTAATTTGCCATATTTGACCAATTTTTCTCCCAGTTGGGAGTAAATAAGTCCACCAGGAGCTCTTGGGAATAATCCCAACAGATCATGAATATTTTTATTTCTTGATATTTACTGAACCCAAAATGATGCAGCTTGCACCCTGATACAAAAACCCAGGATGAAATATCCAAATGGAAGCATGATGTGTCCCAGAGGCAGGTGGGGGCCTGGTAGCACAGGGGTGCTGGGTTTTTGTTTTTTTTTTTTATATATATTTTTTAAGATTTTATTTATTTATTTGACAGACAGAGATCACAAGTAGGCAGACAGGCAGGCAGAGAGAGAGGAAGGGAAACAGGCTCCCCGCTGAGCAGAGAGCCCAACGGTGGGGCTCGATCCCAGGACCCTGGGATCATGACCTGAGCCGAAGGCAGAGGCTTTAACCCACTGAGCCACCCAGGTGCCCCAGGGGTGCTGGTTTTTAAGGATGTATTTTTTTTAAAAGATTTTTATTTATTTATTTGACAGAGAGAGATCACAAGTAGGCAGAGAGGCAGGCAGAGAGAGAGGAAGGGCGGGGTGGGGGGGAAGCAGGCTCCCTGCTGAGCAGAGAGCCCGACGTGGGACTCGATCCCAGGACCCTGAGATCATGACCTGAGCCGAAGGCAGCGGCTTAACCCACTGAGCCACCCAGGCGCCCTTAAGGATGTATTTTTCATGGTTTGCAGGCTTTCCTACTTGGGGCTATAAGTCCATAACTGGATGCCTCTTGTGTCTGATTTTGAAATCTTAAACCTATTCCCTCCTATGAGAAACAACCTAGATTCTGAGCTAGCTCTCCATCTGCACATGCATCTCAAGGTGGGGAGCCAAAGGCTGTGACAGGGTTTTCAGCGTACGTGGCTAACCTGCCATAGTTAAAATCAACTGGGAAAACTAGAAATTCAGGAGGTTATTGTGTTGTCACAATGCCCATGAATTGAGTTGGGGGACTATATGAAAATGGAAGAATATTTTTGGTTTGGCAGTAATTGATAGTGTCATTTGGCAGGAAGTGTCTCAAATTCGCTTATTCAAATTCACTTCTATTTAAGCCAGTCTGTAGAGCCTGCGTAGAGGATCAGAATGTACAGACGGAATTCTTGGCAAAATCTCTGGAAACTTCCAGGATTATCTGGATTCTATAGGGGTCTGGTCTTTCACTGCCCTTGACTATTTTGCAAGTCTATAGAAACTGAAGTTAATTTGTAAAAGGCTGAAGATAATGCAGATAATTCCCATTCTTAGAAATGCAAATGAATTTTGTCCAATGAGGATGCATCAATTTCTACTTAGCGGAAGAGGCCAGTTTTGCCTTTATCAGCAAATTCAGTTCGCTATTCTGGATTGCCTGTAAATAAATGTCTTTTTCCTTGGATTCTCCTTTGAATCAGTTTTTACTTCTCATTAATTTCCTCACTAAGTAATGAGTGAAATAAAATCTTTGACACAAATTCATTTTATATTTGTATGAGTCAACATTTCTAAAAATTACCTTTTAGGACTCTGATTTTCCAGCAACTTAGTTTATTCCCAAAAGTGAGGGGAGTGATGGGAGAACCCTGAATTTCTGACTGAACATTTATCCAGAAGTGACTGATTGAATGAACCACTTGAAAAAACAAGATAATGTTTACACTTATTCCTGGATATAGAGGTTCTAGATTTGGATTGATTTCAGAATAGAGTTATAAAAAGCATTTTATGTCTGCACATCCAAATTTGAGGACTGCTGTGATTCTCCTTTTTTTTAATCCTACCATTTTAACTTTTTCACTTATGTAACAAAAAAATGGTAATAACAGATGTGTTAGGCTTAAGAAAGAGAATGGAAACTTGAACACCATTGGATATCTCTCTGTCTCTGCTTCCATCTTCCCCATCCCCACCCCCTACCTTTCTCTCCAGCGCCTGTTCCCGTGTTAATTTCACTCTCCCAGGCTAGCTTCTCACCCACACTAGTTGTGGTCTGGCTGCTAGCATCTCGGCATCTCTTACTCATATCCTCTGTGGAAAAAAACAAGAGCACCATTAGCATAAGTCTTTTTTCAAAACTGTTGGCATGAGAAGGAGAAGGAGCCTTTTAACTTGGGAAGAAGGGTGGAATTTTTTATAGGGTTTCAGCAGGCAGGGTCACCTGAAGTTCAGCTAGTTTCAAGAATATTTGTTCAAAGATGGTACTCAAGGAAGGGAGGAATTATTCTGATTAATTAGCAGCCATTATATGGACAATTCGGATTTTACTAAGAGAAGTGGAAGGAACAGTGAGGGGCTGAGGTCATGTGCAAGAGGGTGTGCAATCTACAGTGACAAGGACATGGAGGGCCACAGTAGAAACTGTATAGTTTCTATAAGGAAACTATATAGAAACTTCAGTATCTCTTAGACCTTACAGTCCTCAGATCACAGAGACCCTTTTTCCCACGTGCAGTTGGCTAAATCTTAGGGAAGGATTTTGACTGATCGTGCCTATCTCTGGACGACTTACTGTGCTCAGGGAGTGGAGTCAAGAATGAAGAGGCTGTATCTAGGCAGATCCAAAGACTATAGCAGGGTAGGAGCAGGAGGGAGTACCCCAGGCCTGGCCCCAGGGGTCATCAGGAGGGAATAGCCCAGACCATGGCCCATGGGGACTGTGAGCAGGACAGTCCACCCTCCATCTTCATTTATGGTCACAAAAGCTTCCTTTTCTTCCTCCCAGGGAAACAGCTCAATTTTGCCTTTAGGGGACACTGCCTAGGGGAGGACCACTCAGAGAACTTTTTGCTAAATGAGTATGGGGAGCAAGCCCAGGGGAAAGGAAAGCCTCTTCTGAGAGCATCTTAGTGCAAAAGGCTGACACAGCCCTGATGCCCAGATTTCTTCTGAAAGCCTTAAAACTTTCTAAATGATCACCATGGTCACTTCCAGAAGATAGACAAGTTTGGTTTAAATAAACATCCCAATGTTGGCAATGCTCCCTGTCTCTTCATTCTTTTCTATTTCCCCTTTCAGGTGTCCAGTGCCCATGGCCCCTTCTTTCCTATTGTAGAGCCCAGGGCAGGCTGCCCCAAGATGGACCACTGTGGCAAAAAAGATTATTTTGAGTTAAAAGTAATCAAAACCCAACAGATGCAGGAAAAACTCTCTGCCTCCCCCTCAGCTGCCTAAATTTATATAGGAGAGGAGAACCTGTACCAGAGAGCTATTAACAGAGATTCTCTTTACCTAAAAAACTTGTCTGCATAATAGAACAACCTTGCTTTTCCAAACACTCCTTTCACCTTTCTCCCCTTTGTATCCTCAGACCCTATCCCTCTTTAGCTCATATAAATTCCACATTGCCTCATTGTCTTTGGAATTTCATGTTTGTGTGGATTTCCATACATATGCCTATTAAATATGATTTTCTCCTGTTAATCTGTCCCATGTCAATTTGATCCTATCCAGCTAGAAGGACCTTGTAGGACAGATGAAGATCTTCCTTCCTAACACTAAAAATAAGACAGATCTGCCCTATGAACATAGTTAAAATAATTAAGATTCAGGGGAAGGAAATATCTGTCCTTAGCATTTTTATTTTGTTAGAAGAACAAGTTGGTGACATATCATGGACTTTAAAGTCCAAATCCCCAGAATCTGAATCTTGACTTCCCACTTAATTGCTCCATGACTGTGGGCAAATACTTAACCTCAAAAAGTTCCAGTTTTTTCATTTGGGAAATGAGGAATAACGCCTACCTCAAAATTTAAAGGTATCATGCATGTAAAGAACATATGGAATATATTAAAATCCAATTACTATCATTTTTTGTGATGATGATGATGATGATAATTAGGAAGGCATTAAAACCTACTCATTTCTATGTTTTCATCCCTCATTACTATTTTTAAAATAGAATTTCAGGATTAGAAGGGAATTCACAGATGACTTCAGCCAGTGGTCAAGCCTCTCTAAAGAGATCTTAGTTACTCCAGGACCAGCAAGGGGTGTGTGTGTGTGTGTGTGTGTGTGTGTGTCTGTGTCTGGATCTGTGTATGTTGATGGGATGTGATGATTAAGCAGAATGTGACATCAAGAAATTATCAACATTAACACTGATTACAGATACTGGTGAATTAGCAGTGTAGAAAGGGGAAATGAAATTTGGCTTAGCTGTGAAAAAGTAATACTAATTATAGTAATTTACATTAGCCCCTTACCATTTATGCTTAATTACCATGCTGTACAATCATAATTATATGTGTCATTAAATATATGCCCAGTTAACGTCCATGTAAGTTGTCTTGATTAGAATCAACATCTCTGGTCCACTTAGACACCTGTTCAGAGATATATTGCTTAAAGTCATTGCTACTTCGGGGGCTAACAAGAGGGACTTTCTCAAACTAGAGAAAGCAGTTTTCTCTATCATATCCTAAAGTAGGAGGAGGCACAAACAATCTGAGGTTTTTCCTCCTCTACTTCCCCATCAGAAGGTCTTCAGAGTGCCCAGGGAGTTCATCTCACCCCACCTGAGGGGACACACACACACACACACACACACACACACAGCAACAGGTAGCAATAGAGAGATATAGAGATAAATAAAGACATGCAGACCAAGAAACAAGCTGACAGTCAGTAAGACATGCAGGAGATTCAGAGAGTCAGAGAGGTGGCAACAGAGAAGAAAGTAGGCAGAGATAGAGAGATAAAAAGGGGAGGGGTAAATGCACAGACAGAGTCAATTCAGCAAGAATGAATTCACATGCCTTCTCAGACTCAGTTGATTTTCTCTGATAATTTATGAGACAAAATATTTCCTGGAAGTAGACCCAGACAATCATAGCATTCCTCATTGTCGTGGATGGTGATGAAACAGGAAGAACAAGGTGAAAAGAAATGGAAGGTAGAGAGAAGAGAGACAGAGAAGGCAATAGAAAAACAGAGACATGGGGAAAGACAGACAGACATGGAGAGGGGATGAAGGAAAGGGAAGAAGGGTATGAGGGGGTTCATGAGTCTGCTGGATGCTCAGTCTGTGCCATGCTGTGGAGACAGAGAAATGTGGGGGAATGCATTCATGTCCTCTTCATTGTGCTAAAATTTCCATGTCCTTAATGTGCAGTGTGGAGGTGATTTGTTTATTGGGCATCTACTATGTACCTGGAACCAGGCTGAGTGCTTTCACCTATATTGACTCATTGAATCCTCAAAATGACACTAGTTGCCAGGTACTATCAGGATACCCATATTATGGAAAAGGAAACAGAGGCATGTAACTTGCCCAAAGTAACTCAGGTAGTAAGTGAGATTCAAATCCTGCCATCTCCCTGTAGAGCCTATGTTCTCAGCCATGACGTAGCATCAGCAAAGACAGTTATGTAATAAACAATTGTTAAGGGATCCATGATTTAAAAACATTCTTGCTTGGGGCACCTGGCTGGTTCAGTCAGTAGAGTATGTGACTTTGATCTTGGGGTTGTGAGTTCGAGCCCCATGTTGGGGATAGAGATTACTTTAAAATCTTTTTAAAAAACAAAAATAAATAAAAAATTCTTGCTTAATTATAATTTATTTTAAAGTAACTTAATATGCAAATCAATCAACATTTCCAGAATATAACATTTTCATTTCCATGAATACTTCCTTGTCAACTCAGCAAGAGAAGCAAGGGCAGAATTCCAGTGTTGTGGTTGAAAATAAACAAAGAGAAGCCTCCAGGGGTCTCTACTACTTCATGATTTTTCACACAGCAAGATGGGCAGATCCTAGTGTCCTTCCTCCATGGGTCCTACTTCCACAGTGACTTTGGGTTCTGTTGCTTTTTCACTAGGAGACCTTGAAGGGACTGGCATTGGTTTCTCGTGACTCGTTTCCCCTGCGGAAACTTATGTAAAATATCTTCATTGGCTTTCTGATCTGTTAATAAATAATGATAATTTGTAGAAGAGCTCATTTGGTTATCATCCTTGGAGATTAATTGGGTAATTAATTTTAGCTAAGCGCATATGAAATATCAAGTGCCTCATACGTCTTCAGGATTTATGTTCCCGTGTTCTTATGAGGCCCTCAGGCCAGAGATTCTCTGCTTCGAGATGAGAAGCTGATTATGAATGTCCCCAATCAAGGCTGTTTCTCACTAGATTGAGCCAACCCCCCTCAAGAACTCATTGGGAAGGCAGACAATTGTCAGGGTCATTTTTCCTTGCCAGACTGGGACTCTGGAGCTCTGAGCTGCAAATCGAAAGGAACTGGCAAGAAAGAATTTGGCTTCCTGGTTGCTCCAATGCAGATAATCTATGCACCATCTTGAGCACAGTAGGGGGAATCTTTTCTGGGAGCAGCAGTGGTCGTGAAAAGGTCTTCTTATGTCCATGGGAGCTCCAGGGGATACTGGTGCGACTGGAGCCCATGCTTCCTTTCTGTAACTGCTGACTTTTGAGCATACTGACAGCTAACACAAAAAAAAAGGTTAAGAAGGTGACGATACTGGTTTGTGGTTAAGAGCATGAACTTTGGAGTCCTACAGGCTGGGTTTGAGCCTGGCATAACTGTGTCCCACCTACATGCTCACAGCATCCACCATTACTTCTGTGTGGAGAACAACTCAGTTAAACTTATATCACTATAAAAATGACTATGCTAGAACCTTTAGAGAACTCAGTGATTGTGGCAGACTGAACCAAAAAGATCTGTCTGCAGTTAGGGGCACCTGGGTGGCTCAAATCAGTTAAGCGTCTGCCGTGAGCTTCTATCACTACCTCAGGGTGCTGGGATCGAGTCCTGTGTTGGGCTTCCTGCTCAGTGGGGAGTCTGCCTCTTCCTCTCCCCCTGCTCATACTCTCTTTCTCTCCCTCTCAAATAAATAAAGAAAATCTTTTTTAAAAAAATCTGTCCACATTCTAATTCCCCCCAAAACCTGTGAGTATTACCTTATATGGCAAAAAAAAAAAAAAAAAGTATTACCTGATATGGCAAACAATGGGATGATGTTAAGGATTTTTCAAGAGGGTGCTTATCCAGGATTATCCACAGGAGTTTAAATAATCCAGTGACAAGTGTCCTTATACGAATGAGGCAGAGGGAGATTTGACAGAAGAGGCGGCAGCAATGTGACCACGGAGGCAGACTGGAAGTGCTGTGGGCCACCGGAAGCTGGAAGGGTCAGGGGACAGATTCTCCCCGGAGTCATCACAGGGAGCACAGCCCTATTGATTCTTTGGTTTTGGACTTCTGACCTCCAGAATACATTTCTGTGAGAGAATACATTTCTGTTTGTGACACACTTTGTGACAGTAGTCACATACGGCAAACTCCGCCATGGCTCATGGGATGAGGTGAGTCCTAACAGGGAAACCAGTTTGGCTTCATACCTGTTACTGGTTTTCCAACAAAATAACAGTCTCTTAAATCCATTGTTAAGCACTCCGGTTGATCTTAGAACTGCATTCTCACAGCAATGTCTCTTCAGGATAAAAACAGAGCAACCCAAAAGTCATCATTTACATTAAAGAGCTTAATTTATTACCTCTGAAATTTTCCCTCCCTTCATACTTTCCACAGTTGTGAAAACATGTTCCTTTTAGTGCCAAGAACTATACTATATTTAGTTTACTTTGCTATGTGTTTATTCCCGCACCAGAACACACACACTCACATAGAGCTCAATGACTGCATGCACGGTTTAGCTACAGCACCACTACACAGGTCAGACTTCAGCTGGGCACTCTTCTGTTGATACTGCGGGCACTAAACCTGTTTGGAAGAAATCCAAACACATATTACAGAAAAAGTCAATGTTTTGGCCTCCATTAAAGTGCCTGCATGAAAGCATACCTTTTTTAACTCAGATGTATTGAGATGTGATTTACATAGAGTAAAACTTAACCTTTCTTTAGTCTACAGTTCTGAGTTCGAACAGACACCTAGAGTCTTAGAACCACCCCATGATCAAGATACAGAACAGTCCATCATCCCAAAAAGTTCTTTCACAGCCCTTTGTGGTCAGCTCTCTTCCCTGGCTACCAGCGAACTCATGACAGGCACAGATAAGCAGAGCAGAGGTTGGCCTCTGGCTACCACTCCCGCCCTCCAAACGGAGCTGCCTCTGCCTTGGCCACACCAGCCTGACAGGTTCCTTGTGCTCTCCGTGCTCCCACCCACAAGGTCTACCTCTATTAGAACATACTTCTCTGTCTTCTGCACCTAGGTTACCCCTACTCATCCTTGAGATCTCAGCATTGACACCTTTTCCTCAAAGCCTTTCCTGAGTAGCTCCATTCCCTCTACATTGTACTGAGCACAGCGATTTTATATTTGTGTATTCTTTGATTAATGTCTATCTTCCCCTTAAACTTCGAGTTTCGTAAGGGCAGGGACCATGATCTTATGCTTAGTCTATAGTACGATCATAGGTATCCAATAAAGACTAAGTACATGCATAGATACCTTGAAACCAGCAATGTTCTAGGTGTTTGCTTTTGATTCTTTAATAAAAAAAATCTTTGATTTTTTTTTTCGATGTGATGATCTTAAACCATAAATCCTTTGACACTCCTCCCTCCAAAAGGTGGACTCTTAATTCCCCAACCACTGATTCAGTGACTTACTTCTAATGAATAGAATGCAGCAGAAGTGACAGCATCATAGAAGGCACTGCACTTTCTCCTTGCTACCCCCCGGGGTCTCTCAGTCATGGGGCGGGGGATGCCAGTTGCCATGTCATGCAGACATGTGAGAGCAGCCTTATGAAAAAGCCCACATAGTGAGTTACTGAGGCCTTCTGCCAACAGCCACGTCAGTGAGGGAATTGGATCCTTCAGCCCCTGTCAAGCCTCTGGGACTGTAGTCCTGGCCCATGTCTTCACTGCACCCTCAAGAAAGACCCTGAGCAGAAACAATCCAGCTACGCCCCTCCCATATTCCTACCCCGGGAAACTGTGTGAGATGTTTGCTGTTTCAGGCTGCGAAGTTGGAGGATCGTTTGTTACACAACAGTAGCTGAAAGAACTTATAGGGGAAATAAAGAACAGCAAGTGGAGGTGACTTGTTCAAGGTCACACAACCAGTCAATGGCGGGTGCAGGATCCCTGCACAGGTCGTGTGGCTCCGAAGGGCATGTTCTGTGTCCCACACTGCGTTGCCTCCTCAAGATGCTTAGCCTGGCAAATGCAAAATCATCCGGCTGCAAGTATAAAATCTTTGCAAATTGGTTCATGTTACAGTTTTAGGAGGTTGCTTTGCGGAATGCCAAAGAAGCTGCTGACTGGAGGAGTTTCTGGAGAATGGTAAGTAAAAAGGCAATTCTAATGAAGAAGTTATACTGGATTGAACTATTTAGTCTCTGCAAAGACAATTTGTTGGAAGAGTAGATTGAGGCAAGTTTGTTAGAAATTAAAAAAGAGATAACTTAAAAGTTGTTTTTCTTTAGCTCATTATTATGGTATTGTAAACCAGTTTTCACACAGTATGAATGCATTTTCCTAGAATGCTCATTTTTTATATATCCAATATATTTATGTGTTTAGTATTTCACATATTACACATCTTTAATAGTGTAAATATTTGTAAATATGTTTGTAAATAGTGTAAATATTTAGTATATATGTGAAGGAATTACTGAAATTCAGTATTTTTTTTTTAAAGATCTTATTTATTTATTTGACACAGAGAGAGAGATCACAAGCAGGCAGAGAGGCAGGCAGAGAGAGGAGGAAGCAGGCTCACTGCTGAGCAGAGACCCCGACGTGGGGCTCGATCCCAGGACCCTGAGATCATGACCCGAGCCGAAGGCAGAGGCTTAACCCACTGAGCCACCCAGGTGCCCCGAAATTCAGTATTTTTAAAAAGATTTTATTTATTTGTCAGAGAGAGATCATGAGCACAAGCAGGGAGACAGCAGACAGAGGAAGAAGCAGACTCCCGGCTGAGCAGGGAGCTTGATGTGGGACTTGATCCCAGGACCCCAGGACCCCAGAATCATGACCCAAGCCGAAGGCAGAGGCTTAACTGACTGAGCCATCCAGGTGTCCCTTAAATACAGTATTTTGCTCAGATTTCCTAGTTAACATTCCAAAGGCTCGTACCTTGCAGTAGGCAAAGATTTCTTAAATAGGACACAAAAGCATGAATCTCAACATACAAGCTTAATTAGCCATTGCAAGCTATTTATCTGCATGGTGCCCAGTGGTATTGCTGTCTATGCTGATTAGACTGAACATCTTCAACCCATCCCTCTAGAATGATTGACTCATTTCCCTTTCTCCTCTTATGCCTTTCCTTTTCCCAAATTAATAAAACATTCCTGTCATCTAATCACTCCACTCACCTTTATTGTCTTTCTTCATTAAAGCATTGTCACTAGTTCCCTCCTCACGAGTACTGGACTCTTTAAGCTAATTTATGTTGAGGTCTCCTGGCACTAGGATGCAGGAACGTTGCTGGGCCATGGTAAGGCCCGCAAGTGTGAACCAGAGAGATGTCTCTCCATCTGTTGTCAGCGATCCCGTCTTCATGTCTGTGGAGATTTGAGAATTGCTATTCAGTGGCAAACAACATGGAACACTTTCATTTTCCCAATAACTTTGCTTTCAAGAATCTCAATTCACTCTGGAGCTGGAAAAAATTTAATTATGCCAAGTAGCAGCTCCTGGGTCTCTTTGGCTAAATTAAGCCCATTCCAGTGCTTGTCTTTAGAGTGGATTACTAAAATCTCAGCCTCCTGTCCAGTTCACAGCCCATCCCCTCAGTGGGAGCTCAGCTGTCTATGACATGGTGCTTGGCCTCTCTTTTCTATTCCTCTTGGGGCCTGCTTCCCGCTGGTCGGATGAGTGGGGAAAGGGTTCAGGCATGTGAGCATATGAGTGCTGGCACACTGGGGGTGACCATGGGGACACTGAGCAGGTCCATTTGTTCCCTGTGGCTACTTTACCTACCACTGGCTACAAAATGCTGGTGTTGTCTGTGGCTGGGATGGGACTTTTGGGGACCCAAAAAATAACCCCCCTTCCACTGGGAGGCAAACGTGGGACTCAGGCTATGGGAGACAGGAACACCATGGCAACTCCTGATAATGCTTCTACTGGCCTTCAGGGCTTATGGAGCTAAACACAGCATGCAGGTCAATGCTCCATCTCTGCATCGGACAGATGGACCCAGTCATGGCTCCCAACACTGCCACTTTCTCTTATGGCCCTGCAGGGGTGAAGGTGACCATCCTTCCTTTCTCACAGCCAAGAGGGAGAAAGACAGTGCTGAGTGAACACATACAGTTCCTCTACCCCCAATCACCAATTGGGCAAATCCCTCTGCCTCCTGGGATGGGGAGGGTGTGAAACTAGAGGCTGAGAGAAGTCTCAACCAAATAGGACAAAACCAATCAGAATGCACATGTATGAATACACATGCACATTTTAACTTAATTTTATAAGCAACATAATGAAAGATATGGAAGGATACCTGGTAGGTGGCTCACAGCATTGCCCAGTTTGGGGGGTGGTGGGTGGGATATAATGTGAAAGCAGGAGAAGAGAGTATAGAGATAAGCCAAACAAAAAAAAGAAAATCACCAAGAAACAGTATGTACGGTGTGATCACTCTATATTTATGTGTGTGTGTGTGTATGTGTGTATATTTGCCTTAAGAAGTGATACTCAAGGGAACCTGTGTGGCTCAGTGGGTTGGGCCTCTGCCTTCGGCTCGGGTCATGGTTTCGGGGTCTTAGGATCAAGTCCTGCATTGGGCTCTCTCCTTGGCGGGGAGCCTGCTTCCTCCTCTCTCTCTCTCTGCCTGCTTCTCTACCTACTTGTGATCTCTGTCTGTCAAGTAAATAAATAAAGTAAAAAAAAAAAAAAAAAGAAGTGATACTCAAAATTCTTCAACCTGTATAGCATGGTTCATACCCCTCCAGTTAAAGTAGACACCAAAGAACTGGGGCAGAATCCCTGAAAATTCTCTCACTGAACCAGGCATTCATCTGAAGTGGAGGGTGGCCCAAGGGGTTTTGGGAGAGAGACTGGGAGACCAGGGTGGTAGGATGGGATTTGGGGGCTGAGGGTGGTAACACTTGAGACGCTCAAGGCAGTAGCTATTCACTAACCCAATTCAGAAGCACTTCAATGTTTTGACAACATGTCCAGCTCTATCAATGCATTCTACTTGAATAACATACTTGTTGACTTACTCATAAGTTAAGGTCAAATTCTTAAACTGTAATAGGAAAGTTTCCTTCCTATGCTATGTTATCTAATTCAACTGGGAACAGGCACCAGTCATATGAAGAAAATCTGAATTCTGGGGGCCAGAGGAGCCACTTCAAAGCTTCACTCAAATGACTGGAAAGTTGAGGCTTGGCTGTTGGCTGGAAACCTCAACAGGGCTGTGGATTAGTGCCTTGGTTCTTCTCCATCTGGGCCTCTCCTCAGGCTGCTTGTGCTTCCTTTCAGCATGGTGGTTGGGTTCCAAGAGAAATCAGGAGGCGTCCGTTTATAATCAAAGAAGTCACATAGTGTCACTTCATTATAATCTATTGGGCAGGGTAGTCACAGGGGCTCACCCACTTTTTAGGGGAGGGGACTAATACCCCACCCCTCCAGGGAAGGAGTGTTGAGGTCGTACTATAAGAAGAGCATATGGCAAGGAAGACACGGGAGGAAATACAATATGCTACAACACACTTCTGCTGTCTGTGATATCTACAGTCCGTGTTGGCCTGGGTTCCAAAGGTCTCTGCTTTTATTCACGCTGCCACATGTAGGGAACAGATTAGCTAGTATAACCGAAAGATTGGAGGAAGAAGGGAAAAGTTAAAAATGCATAGGCAACCAAAAGAAGAACTAAAGTGAACATTTGTGAAACTCCTACTTAACGTGGCAGGCGTTGTGCTAGGCGCCTCTCATAGGTCCTTATTACTTTCAAGCTTTCAATATCTTTATTAATTTACACCACAGCTGTGTGAGGTAGGTACTATCATTACCACTTGGAAGATAAGGAAATTAAGGCAGAAGAGCTATTTAGCAACTTGTCCAGCTATACAACCTGTAACTGACAGCAGGATGGCAATACTGGGCTGCTCGACTTCAAGCACTATGTTCTTGCTACTATATTGTGCCTCTGAGCATAGAACATAAACACATTCTGTACAATGTTGCTATGTAGTTCATTTTGTTTCTTCTTCTACTTATATAAAAGATCCCCTTTTTTACCTCTCAAAAGGCTTAGAGTAAAATATGGCAAATAGTAGAGATGTATAAATGGGCTTCTCTTTTCCAAATAACTGACAAAGTCTTCTCAAGGAGCACATTAGATAACTTCCTTTTCAGTCAATTCCCTAGTTATCATTTGTCCCTGTAGGAATGTAGAAATTACTAGCTGGGATTAGATAAGAAACCCTTACTAATTATTAAGCTAATTGTGTTATAAGGTAATGTAAATGTTAAGACATAGAGCGGAATTCAACATGGGAGTTTATTAATACAAAATGATGGGTACATTGTGATACAAGTGAAGTCCCAAGAAGCTTTGCATAAATGTACTTTGGGAATATGTATTAATATATTTTTTAAAAGATTTATTTATTTATTTAATTCGAGAGTGAGAGCGTTCGCACCTGGGGTTGAGAAGGGCAGAGGGAGAGGAAGGAGGAGAGCAGCAGACTCCCCACTGAGCATGGAGCCTGGGGTTCCATTTCATGACCCTGAGATCATGACCTTAGCCAAAATCAAGAGACACTTAACTGACTGAGCCACCCAAGCACCCCTGGAAGACATACTAATATTAGATGTACTAATATTAAATATACCACAGGACTCCCTGTTTAAAGAAAATGCACATTTCTCTTGTTGCAGCAGGAATTTCTCTAGAGGGGGACACAGATAATGAAGTTCATCATAATTAGAATGCCCCAGTCATTAACTAGGTGTGTTTAATCTGGGCATAAGGACCCCTGTTGCAATGATCAGGGAGGTTTTCACTGAGATACCTATTTATAATAAGATCTGGCATAGGTGATGGAGAGGATAAGAATACCCCTCTTTCACCTGGTGCTAAATTCGAAAACCCAGAGTGGTGGTGAATGACAGAGACTGAAAGGATGACACGTATTTTACCATAACCTAAACATAAATGCAATTCAACTGTAACACAATATGTCATCAATTCTTGGGGCTACTGAGAGGCTTTTGACACTGACTTGGAAATTCAATTTCCCACTGAGGCCTACTCTTTAAAATGAACAAATGATTGCACAGAATAGAAACATGCTAAGTTACCTGTAAGAAACAGAATGGCTTCCAAGCTAGGAAAGCTCTGCAGTAATTTAGTATTTTCAGAAAGCACTGTGTCCACAAGAATTTAGGTAGAACTGAAAACAAACAAAAGTGGAGTCACTGGGGCAAATGTTGGTTGGGTCTATCTGATCATTGCCCAGGAGGAGGAAGCCTTAGTGGTAAGGACGGTATGGACCATTTTGGATGGTATGGTCCTATTCATTCATTCATTGAACTTTCTCAAGTGCCTCCCTGGCCAGGCATTATCTTACATGCTGGGAATATGGAAGTGAGTAAGTCAAAGTCCTCATGGAGTTCACATTCCAGTGGGGGAGGCAGTCAATACAAAAAAATAAACATATATACTAATAACATGAGGCCTGTGCTTCAAAAAACCTTCACAAGGTAGGAAGACAGTGAATGAGGGAGATGATGAGAAAGGAATATGGTATTACTTTAGATGGAAAGGTCAAGAAAGGCATATCTGAGGTGACATTACGATAGAGATATTTGAATGAAGAAAGGAGGTGAGCCATATGAAGATTAGTGGGGTTAGATTGTTCTAAGTGAACAGAACAGCCAGTAGAAAGCTCAGAGGTTGGAGTGAACCTGTGTGTGCAAGGAACAGAAAGGCTAGTATGGGGAGTCATTAGTGCCATTTGCCAAAATGTTCTGGTGCTCTCTCCTTTTAGGCACAAGGTTGCCTTATCTTGGCTCTTCTGTGGATGGGTAGGACTACACCTAGTGTGTTTTATCTTATTTTGGACAGTGAGGCATGAGCAAAAATGACGTGCCATTTATGGACAGAGCCAGCATGCTCTCTAGAGCACTTTTTTCTGTCTCTGGCTTGATGATAAGTAATACTTCAGACAGTGACTGCTCCAGCAACCACAATCTAAGAGGAAGACAACAAGGCAGGCAAGGTCCTTGGCTGACCCTCAAAAGACATAAATGCGAACAAGAAATACATTTTGTATTGTGTCAAGCTTCTTAGATTTGGAGTTGTTACTTCGGTCTGACATCACCTGTCCTGACCAATACCTGTCCTGGTCAATGTAACTAGTGGGGACAAAGCTAGAGGGAGGGAGGCAGATGTCATCTAAAGGATAAGCAGTGGACAGATAGCGTAGAGCCTTGTAGATTATGGTACATTTGGGTTTCATTCCGTGTGAAAGAAAAACTCTGGACCGAGTTTTGAGCAGGGGAATGACATGAAGATTTGCATTTGAAAAGAATCATTCAGTCATGTATGGGAAGTCCTTATTAGTGGGAAATACATAGTGAGGTTTTTAGGGATATAATGTCCTCAACTCGCTTTCAGTAAATGGTTCAGTAAAAATGTGTGTTTTAGTGTGTGTGGCTTGTGTGCACATGAACAAGGGGTAAAATGGTAGTTGGTAAATCTAGATGAAGGGTAGGTAGGTGTTCATTGTATGCTTTTTTAACTTTTTTGTAGGTTTAAATTTTTTTAAATAGGGGCTCTTGGTGGTTGAGTTGGTTGAGCATCTGACTCTTGATTTTGGCTCAGGTCGTGATCCGGGGGTTGTGCGACAGTCTCTCGTGGGGCTGAAGTCTGCTTCAGATTCTCCCTCCCTCTTCTCTGCCCCTCCCTAGCTACACATGCACACATGCTCTCTCATGAGTAAATCTAAAAAGCTTGGGGGATATCACTCTATCAAGACGGGATAGAAGCAAAGGCCATAGGAAGGCTGCTGCGGGTAAGAGATGAGGTGATTTGGGCTGGAACAACAATTGTGAGAAATGGGTGGCTTTGAAATCTAATTTCTGTGTGGAGCCAGAAGGACTTGCTCATAGACTGGCAATGGGATGTGAAGTAAAGTTTAGAGTCAAGGTGTCTCTTAGGTCTTTGTCCCGAGCATGTGGGAGAGTGGTAGATGCCATTAACTGAGACAGGACAGCAGGGGTGAGCCAGCTTTAGGAGATGGGAAAAAGCAGTTCTGTTCTGGACAAGTTAAGGGTGAGTCTCCGAGTAGAGACTGGGTTGGCAGTTCGGTGAGTGAGCTGGGGCCACAGAGAAGAGGTTGTCTGGGAGAATAAAATTCGAAATCATCAGCATATAGTGGTATAGTGAGCAATCACCTCTCTACCTCTTCCCTACATATGCCCTCACCCCCAAAATTACTGCCCCTACCCCTCCTAGTTTGTGTATTCACTTGGAGTTTAGGTTGCTAACAACTTACTACAAAGCTGCATTGAGTAACTATAATGATGATGTGAGAGATGGTTCTTAAGCTATAGGTTTTTTTTCTTCTTTGCTGGCCCTGATGACAGGAAAGACATATTCTATCCCTTTTGAGAGGGGGTAAACAATCTCTGATAAAAGTTTAGACTCAAACTGCATTCTTCTTCCCTTTCCCTTAGTCTGAAACATGGATACCATGCCACTCTACTTCTGGTATAATATGATTAAATAGCTCCCCTGCTAAAGTTGTTAGGGCTATTCAATAGTCTAATGCCTATTGTTTGGAGAATAAAAATAGCTTATGCTGGCTCAATGAAAAAAAATCAGGAGGTTCATAAAAGTTATTGGGGGAAACGTATTTGTGGGAGGTAATCACGTAACCGCAAAACACAGTAATAAAAAACTCAGTTGAGAAGTTACTGCGTATTTGTCCTTTTCCCCCTTCCAGGGTGTGGTAGATTGTATTTTCCAAAATAGCAGCCTCACTATTTCTCTTCCCACATGCTCTTCTAATAATGGGACATTGACACTCTTCCCACTGAGTGGTGGGGCCTATTTCCCTCTCCTTGAACTTCAGCTGACCTTTGTGACTGCCTGAACCAACAGAATACAGTGGAAGCTGTCCAGCTAAGGCCAGGCAACTCCCACAACCCTGAGAGGGAATAATACAGTAGGTAAAATCTGTTAAGTTTTGAGGTTATTCATTATGCAGCAACAAAAAACAGGAACATGGTTTTGACTTTTAATCATCTTTATATTTTCTTTGTTCTTGATCCTTACATTTATATTCAGATTTTATAGCAATTTTATCTGTTCTTATTGCAGGTCACTTCAAAGCCTTTGTGGAAGAGGGCTTACATACAAATGTAATCAAATTTTTTAAAGTGCTCTTCCGGGCAGCTCTTGTCGGTTAAGTGCCTACCTACGTCACGATCCCAGGGTCCTAGGACAGAGCCCCACATTGGTGGCTCAGCAGGGAGCTTGCTTCTCCCTCTCCCTCTGCTGCTCCCCCAGCTTGTGCTCTCTTGCTGTCAAAAAAATAAATAAATAAATAAATAAAATCTTTAAAAATAATAATAATAAATGCTCTTCTGTCTAACCTGGTGATGTAAGCTCCCTAGTCTTATTCTATAAACTATAAAGATAACCCATGAAAGCTCTAGCACCACTTTTAAGGGATTTAAAAACAAAAAAGAGAGATTTGAAGAGAGTTAAAAAAGACAAGACTGTGGGGTGCCTGGGTGGCTCAGTCGTTAAGCGTCTGTCTTGGGCTCAGGTCATGATCCCAGTGTCCTGGGATCAAGCTCCACATTGGGCTTCCTGCTCAGCAGGAAGCCTGCTTCTCCCTCTCCCACTCCCCCTGCTTGTGTTCCCTCTCTCGCTGTGTCTCTCTGTCAAATAAATAAATATGGTCCATATATACAATGGAGTATTATGCCTCCATCAGAAAGGATGAATACCCAAATTTTATATCAACATGGACAGGACTGGAAGAGATTATGGTGAGTGAAATAAGTCAAGCAGAGAGAGTCAATTAACATATGGTTTCACTTACTTGTGAAGCACAGTGAATAACAGGGAGGACACTGGGAGATGGAGAGGAGAAGTGAGATGGGGGATATCGGAGCGGGAGACAAACCATGAGAAACTGTGGACTATGAGAAACAAACTGAGGGTTTCGGAGGGGAGAGGTGTGGGGGGTTGGGTGAGCCTGGTGGTGGGTATTATGGAGGGCACATATTGCATGGAGCACTGGGTATGGTGCATAAACAATGAATTTTGGAGCACTGAAAAGAAATAAAATGAAATAAAATGGAAAATAAATAAATAAAATCTTTTAAAAAAAGGAGAAAAGATTGCTTTGTGTGGATCTATTCTACCTTGTCTGCTCTTTCTCCCCCAAAACATACCCTTTCCCATGAAACTTTGATGGAAATAATTATGACCTCATCTATGAGGATCAAATGACTAATTCAGTGAATAGTTCCTCAAGAGACATTTACAGGCTACTATTGTATGCTAGATATTAGACCAGGTACCAAAAATACAAAGACGCAGGCCAGCTTACAAAGGGACTTCTGGGCTCCTGATTACTTATAGTTACAAAATGCGTATCATACGCAAGGTCATGTCTAGGCATGTCTGGAAGTCTTTAAATGCCTTCAGTGATGGAGAAGTATTTAAAATAACAATAACGAAATAAAGCAGAACTATCAAATGATCTGACAGATAATTTAAAAAGTGAATGGAAAAAGTTATACAGCAATTTTACAGTAGGTTCATACATCTATGAGTTCGGTATAAGAAACAGAGCTAATTGGGGCACCTGCATGGCTCAGTCAGTTAAGTGACTCTTGATCTTGGCTCAGGTCTTGATCTCAGGGTTCTGAGTTTAAGCCCCATGTTGGGCTCCATGCTGGGTGGGAAGCCTCCTTAAAAAACAAAACAAAAAACCAGAGCTAACTTATTCTCTGCATAACCACAGAAATGAAAATATTATACTAACCTTAAAAAATGAAATTACAGTTAATATGAAAGATCATGAGATACCACAAGATAAGACATTCCTCTTTTTAAGATGTTACAGTTTATTAATACATTCGTAGTCACCACTTTTTAGAGTTTTACTATAATTAGAATTTTAAAATCCGGTTTCCTAAATTGAATCTCAATCCAAGTAGTGTCACATCCATTAACTTTTCAAGAGCGGGGCATGAAGATGGGAACCACAGCTACTTGTTTACCACTGTGTATTCAGCATCTGGCCCATAGCAGGCATTAATTAAGAATTCGTTAAATTTGTGGTGCTCTTGGCTGTTCCAGTGGATTAAGCCTGGCCTCTTGGTTTCAGCTCAGGTTGGTATCTCAGGCGGTGAGATCCAGCCCAGCCACAAGCCCCAAGCTCAGAGTGGAGTCAGCTTCAGACCCTTTCTCCCTCTCCCTCTGCCCTTCTAGCCTACTCTTTCTCTCAAACAAACAAACAAACAAACAAAAGAACTTGTTGAATTTATGTATTGCAAACATGTATTTAAGAGAATAGATTAAATGTAGCAGTTTTAAACAATAGGCAGGTCTGAATACTTGGTACAAACAGCCGTGTTTCGGGTGTTGCAGAGAACTACTAAAAATAGAAGACACTGTGCTTCATGCAGAGTATTACAAGCACTTAAAAACCTTTAAAATGAAATATAAATACTGCAAAATTCACATTTTTGAAATGAAGAATTTTCAGCAGGTCGCAGCTGCTCGAGCAGTGGAAGGAGCTGCAGCAGCCAGACAGCCCAGCTTCCGGAAGGCTCTGGTGCCCCCCCCCCCCCCCCCGCAACCCTGCCAGCTGTGGCAATGATGCCCAGGAGGAAGGGCAGCTCTATCGACAGCACAGCGAAGGAGGAGCCCAAGAGGAAGTCATACAGGTTGTTAGCTAAACCTGCTCCTGCGGAAGTGGAAATGACTCCCAAAAAAAAAAAAAAAAAAAAGGAAAGTAGGAAAGGCAGGATCCAAACTTAGGAGACCATGGTATCTGGGAACTGCTACTGCTGTGCTACTCCAGGCACGACTTTTTCCTAATGAAAAGCCATCCCCAGTTGACTCCACGGTCTTGTGACATTTTCAGTGTCTAAGATTGTGACTGTGAAAGTCTCAATCAGATGTCATACTTGCCTGAAACACAGAAATTTTCTATTTTCCTAAATTTTGTAATAGCAGTAAAAGATTTTTGTTTTCTGGCCTGGGTAAAAAAAAAAAAAATGGATATGGTAATCCTGTTTTTTTACGGTAATATAACATGTCACAGTCATTGTGCTGCAGAATTTTAAAGACTTAAGAAGACTGAAAATACTACTAAGTCTAGTTTGCAAAGGAAATCCATTCTTGTGCTGTGTACATCCTGGTTAGTGCTTGCCCATTCCTTGCGTACTGTGCTTATTATTCTTGACGATAATCCCAAAGCCACAGTTGAGGCCAGGAGAAAGGCTATGTGTAGGTTTTTGAGGATAAAGTTCTCAAGCTAAGGTGCAGTGAATCCGCTTGCCCATTCCTTGCGTACTGTGCTTATTATTCTTGACGATAATCCCAAAGCCACAGTTGAGGCCAGGAGAAAGGCAATGTGTAGGTTTTTGAGGATAAAGTTCTCAAGCTATGGTGCAGTGAATCCGCGTGCAAGGGTACATACATCATGACTTGTGTTCTTTGAGAACATAATGATTTAAATGTTGTGTTGTTGGTTTGTTTTGCAACTATGTATAAGGGAGTACATTACATCCTTCTATTATAAGAAACTCTGAATTAACCCTAAACAACATTGGAGTTGTTTCCCTGGAATACATTCAGGATTACATTGTTCAAATTGAAGGTCTCTGGAATGAACTTGCTCTTGAGTGTAATGTTTAAAAACTTGAGTTGGGAAAGCAAAGTATATGTAAATCATTGTAACTTTGGTTTTGGGTGTAGTATTGAAACCACCTTCTGCAAAGATGTCACCCTTTTCAGGGGAAATTCACAGTATGATTAATTTCTGTACACTCAAAACCTAAGTGAGACTTTGGTGTTAGACCCCTTTTCTAAAAGTGGAAGTTTAGCACTGCATAATCAATTCTTTACTTAAACGCTGTACAGAGGGGCACCTGGGTGGTTCAATCAGTTAAGTGTCTGCCTTTGGCTCAGGTCATGTTCCTAGGGTACTGAGACTGAGACCAGCATCTGGCTCCTTGTTCCGCGGGGAGCCTGCTTCTCCCTCTCCCTTTGCCGCCACTCCCCCCTGCTTGTGCTCACTCTCCCTCTGTCAAATAAATAAATAAAATCTTTAAAAAAAGCAAAAACAAAAACATACCAAATTAATGTAAAAGTCTCAAACTTTCCTTCAGGAGAAAGTTCTACTTTTTTTAAAAAAGTATTCAAAGAAGGTATAAGCAGAGTATGTTAACAGTATTTCTCATAACAGAAAGTAAAACAGTAACTCTGTATAAAAAGTTAAGTAAACCAGGAATTTTTCAAAAAGGCCAAAAAAATAGCGGATCTTGTTGTATAATGATGGAGTAATAATAATATTATTATTACACATCTTTGAGTTTTTTTTTTTTAATTTAAAACCAATTCGCTTAAGTACTAAAGAAAGAAAGAGCAAAAAGGAAGGAAGGAAGGAAGGAAGGAAGGAAGGAAGGAAGGACTTTCAAACTATTTATTACTCTTGAACTCTGGCTATGCACAAAATACTAGAAAAGCCAGCACATACATCAATTATTTTTACAAGCTCTTAGGGGACAGGAAAAAATGACAGAATGAATTTCACAACCTTTCTGAAACTAACTTTTAACTACAGAAAAGAAAATAAGTTTATAGTGCACAAAGTCATATTGCCAGTTATATATTCAGTGGTGTATGGATAGTGAAAAAATATATCCAGGCTTTCCCACATAAAATGGATATAAATAAGGGGATATTTAAAAGTAAAGACTAATTTATATGCTTGAGAAAAAAAATCAAGACTTTTATTCACTGCTTTAGAAATTATGAGTAGAGAAAACAAATTATTCTGAATGAAGCAAATACTGAATTTTGTATTTTAAACCTTTAATACAGGATGACACCTGAAGACTCCATCCAAATCTCAGATTAAATGATTCTATGAACTAAATAAATACGGAAAGGTGAGGACAGATGAAGAGAGTGAAAGAAAATACAGAAAAGCAAAAAGGTGCTATAAGGAAACACCCTCCCATATATACACGAACTAACACAGAGCTGAGACAGGCACCTGTAAGAGGAAGAAAGACACACTTAGTCAGATCTTGGCTTCCCCGTGTGGAAGGCTTCCTCCTCGGAACTGTTCCATAATATTTTCTAGTATTTGTGTCTGAATGTCTGCCAGCCTCCTAGTGTACTTATTCTAAAGGCTTTTTAAGTTTTGATGTTTTCCTAACTAGACTGAATTGATTTGAGAATCAGTTG